GGGGGCGTAGGGGTCTGACAGGGGCCTGCTGCCTCTGCCCAGCGCCAGGTTCTCCTCGTTGTGGAAGTTGGCCCAGTTCTGCTCGCTGGAGAGCTTGTTGTAGGCCTGGTAGGGCGGCATGTGGCTCTCGGCCATGGGCAGGAAGGGGTAGTGCTTGGGCGGGTAGGGACCTGAGACCATGTCCTCGGCAAAGGTGTCCCTGCTTGGGCTGGTCGGCACCGACACCTTCTTGATGTTGCTAAGCAGGTTCTTGCAGCAGAGGTGGAAAAGCTCCAGGAGGTTCAGGATTAAGGAGATCAGGCCCATCACCAGCATGAAGATGATGAAGATGCTCTTCTCGGTAGGGCGAGAGATGAAGCAGTCCACCTGATGGGGGCAGGGGTCCCTCTTGCACACATAGCGGGGCACCATGGAGAAGCCGTACAGGTACCACTGGCCAACAAGGAAGCCAGCCTCAAAGATGCTCTTGCAGATCACGCTGATGATGTATGTCCACATCAGCGCCCCTCGGATCTTGAGCCGCCCGTCCTCTGTCACATAGATCTTGGACATCTTCTTCTCCACAGCTGCCAGGGCCTCCTCAATCTTCGGGTCCTTGCTGTGGATAGCCCGAAGCTCGCTCTCCTGTTGCTTTAGCTTCTCCTCCTTCCGGGAGAGATAGACAACGTGGCCAAGGTAAATCAGGGTTGGGGTGCTGACAAAGAGGAACTGGAGCACCCAGTAACGGATGTGGGAGATGGGGAAGGCTTTGTCATAGCAGACATTGGTGCAGCCTGGCTGCTTGGTGTTGCACACAAAATCCGACTGCTCGTCCCCCCAGACAGACTCCCCGGCCAAGCCCAGGATGAGGATGCGGAAGATGAAGAGCACAGTGAGCCAGATCTTCCCGATCACAGTCGAGTGCTCCTGGACTTGGTCCAGCAGTTTCTCCAGGAAACCCCAGTCGCCCATCTTCTAGGGAACCTCGTGCCTCTGCCAGCAGAGAGAGGAGGGGAGGGGAGCCAAGTCAATTCTGTTTCCGCGCTGGAGGGCACAGTGCAGACAGGGCTACCTAAACCCCAGGCTTTCTCAGGGCACAGCTGCTCTGCCGAGGGTCCCAGCAAACCCACCGAGGAGCATCCCGCACCCGGGGGAGGGAGCCAGGCAGGATTTCTAAGCCCAGGACTGCTCCTCCTGCACCCTTCTGCCCAGCGGAGAAACATGGGTGGGGGAAGAAGAGGCAGCACAGGGATTCACCTCCCCCAGCAGCACCCACGGCTCGTGGCTATACCGGCCTCCCAGGACACAGCCTGCAGCAAAGGGCTCACCGGGCAGCTGGTTTGGGGCTGCCGTGGGAGATCAGGGCCACGGCACCCAGAGAGGGGGCACAGCAGGGGCTCACAGGAGCGGCCCAGATGTGCCTCCTACAGACCGCCCCAACTTACCGGAGAACAGAGAGCAGCAGGGTCGCAGCAGAGGAAGCACAAACCCCTGGGGTACAGCAGCCACCCTGACACCCATTCACCCCAAACCAATGGGACAGCCCCCAGACAGCTCCCTTGCTGCGGGGCGATGGCACCCAGCCCCAGCACGCTCCCCCTTACCCAGGGCTCTCCCCACCCTGGGGA